CTCGGGGAAGCTTCACTTGGGCACGGCTCGGGGAGAGCGCGGGCTGGGTATCGCCGTGCCCGTCTTGGTTTTCGGGGTAATCCACCCCAAATCTGCCTCTGGGAGGGAGCGCGAATGCCCCGGACACACAGTGCTGCTGGGCGACCTGAGAGCTGCCCATGGCCAGACCAGCAGGTGAGGGGTGCGGGCGAGGGACGCCCCGCAAGCCCGTCCTGGCGTTTCCATCTTGATGCTACAAAGAACAGGAGCCCGATGAAGCGTACGGGCAAAAAGCTCCGGTGTACCGACTCAGAGGAGCGCAGCAGAGTCGTGGTGAACTTTGTGGTACTGTTAATGGCTTAAAGAGTGTACTGTGATGCTTGATTTTTTCATTAATTAGGAAAAGTAAGATGCTAAGCTTGCTAGGACAGTGGGATTAATTAAGGAAGTGCGGGTGGGCAGACAGATTTCAGTTTTACAGCTTCTCACAAGGGCTTCCATTCTTTGACGCCAAACAGTTCACAATCGCTTCTTTTCCACGGGATGCCATATAAAGATCTAAAACCACTTTCGAGACATTGTAAAATTCTTCAGCCATCCCAGCGCTTTTGTGCTACGCCTGCTCGCCGCTCGCCTGGCTGTGCAGACAGACAGGCGGAGGCATGGGGGTCGGCAGCAGTTTTGTGCGGGTGAGAGGAAGCCGGCGGCATGGCTGCAGGCGTCAGCCGGCCGTGGCGGTTCCCCGGTCTGGGTTTCAGTTGCCTTATCTCTGTTTAAAAACACAGCTATCACAGAGAAGGAGACTCCACAGCCTCCCTGGGCAGCCTGGGCCAGGGCTCCGTCACCCTCAGAGGGAAGAAGTTCTTCCTCATGTTCAGCTGGAGCTTCCTCTGCTTCAGTTTGTGCCCGTTGCCCCTTGTCCTGTTGCTGGGCACCACTGGAAAGAGTTTGGCTCCCTCCTCCTGACACCCACCCTGCAGATATTTATCGGCATTTATAAGGTGACGTTCTTTGTAAGCAGCATCGAACGCAGCACCGCTGGCGCTGCTTCCTTCAGATCTGGGTTCCCTGAAGATGTCTCGTCCAAATACAGCCCCAATCCGAAGCTACGGGACTCAGATCTTCACAAATGTGATTAACTGTGCTGGTGCGAGTCGTCCCGCTGGGATTCTTCGCCGTAGTACGGATAAATGTGTGTAATTGCAGAATCGAGGCCTTAGGCTGCGAGAAGTGGAGAAATCACAGCTTGAGGTGGTGTATCTGCCGCTGCTTTGTGGGAGGTTTTGTATTAAGAGGCAATTAATTCAATGTGTCAAACAACGCTTTAAATATTTAGGGATTAGGAAGTCCCTAATAAATAATTTACAGGAAAAAAGGAAGATTCCCCAATCACTACAGTGGCATTCAGTTATTCAAAATAAAATAGGTAGGATAACATAGATAGTGAAATACTTTGTGTTTGGCATGTCAAGATTCCGCCAGAACAGCTGTTGACATGTAGCAAAATGGAGAGGAGAGGAAGAGCCTTGTTATCTGGCCAGACTTCCCTCCCTAGTGTTTTTATTTCAGCATCTAACTGTTTGTGGAAGCTGTCCCAGGCAAATACTGTGCCTTATTTGTTTAGAGTTGTTTTTTGGAAGGGGAAAGGTGTAATCAACAGGCAATCTGCAGTAATGTGTGGCTTGGCAAGGCGGCGTTCTCCACCTCTCCTTTTGTCGGGGCTCCGCAGCGCCAGGGAGAAGGAGAGGCTGGTCGGGCTGACCAGAGATTCCGGGAGAGCGGGCAGGCGTTTGTCTGGGAGCAGCCCCAGCTCCAGCGCTATTTAATTTGTTATTTAAGTCACTGGATAAAACAATTATCTGGCCTTCTGTCCCTGATTTCGTTAATCTTTCTAACAGAAGAGCTTCAGCAGAGCACAGGAGACATGTCCGCCCTGTAGCATCCTGGAAAGGAAGAGCTGTGGGTTCAAAGTTCCTCAG